TTGGACAAAGCTGCCTCTGTGTGACTCTGAGTCAGTGGCAAGAGGATCTGCAAAACCCTGAGGTGGCTCCATCCTGACAGCTGCAAAGCAGGGAAGAGTAAGATGGTGGATTTGTGTAAATGAGTGATGATGCAGAAAGAGAGACACACGTACCAACAAAAGCAAGATTGCAAAGACTAAATTATTTGAGTAGTGGCCAAAATATTATCAGTTACATGAAAATAGATTTGTGACAGCTGAAGAGTGACAGGAAAGGAGAGAGGGAGAGAGAGAGAGAGAGAGAGAGACACCAAGGTGACACACAAGCTGAAATCAAACCCTTGATACATGAGGTGCACACTCCACCATGTGAGCTACCAGGGCACACCAGAGAGCAAAGTTTGATTTCGATTTACCTCTGCATTTTTTACATGCATCTATGCACAGGTATAGAGTAGTAAAGGATGTGGTACCGAAACCCTTTTGTAACTGCAACAGTGAGAAATACAAATGTTTTCCAAAATAAGATATTTTCAATTCTATTTCAGGCTAATATTAATTTTTATGTGATTTTTTTTTTATTTCTCAAGAAGGCAGTAACAGACATCCTTCAATTGCAACATTGGACAGTTGTATCACACTTTAAACCTGCTCCTCACCAGGTTTAGTTGAAAGTAACATTCACCACAGTATTCTGACTGGTGTCCATCCAATTGGGAAAAATTAAGCAACACACAAGTTGAAGAATAAGGTTAGATTAGTTAATAACATCAACAACGTTAATGACATTAACAAAGGTGCAATTGTCACACACATAGTCTACTGGCTTCCAAGATGTGGTGCTGATAATTCATTGATTTTATATCCATCTGTTAGAGCAGAGTCTACTAAGAGCATCTACTGCTGTGATTGGAGGCACTCGCTCTCTGCATCACACACTCATCAGCAGCAAGCAGTCAATCCTCAATCCTATTTCAATGTGCAGAATTTCACTCGTACAGCTTTGATATCAGGTCTCACATTCTACTATGCTCTTTATTGTATCTAACCACTATGACCAACTGTCAGGAGACGTTGGGAACGCTCCCTTTCTCATGTCTGTCAGTCATTCATGAGGCCAAATAACACCTGGGTCATCAGCTGCACCGTAGGCATGACGGTTTGCCACTTGACTAAATCTGCAGGTTAAAAAGGCACGTTGTGTAGAGGGACGCTTTATTAAGAAGAATTAATGGGTTAGTGCATTATCACACAGGCGATAAATACTGTATATGTGCAATTTGTCAATTTAGGTCCAAATTGTCAGCTCTGTGTTTCTTAAAATATAAAAAGGACATTACAGTGTAAATGAACCTGGACCCCAGTGCAACATCACACTAGAAAGGTGTATGACCATCTCTGCTACACTTACAAAATGAACCATCAGACTACTTCTGCTAATGACTTATGGTAACAGTTATTCATGAGTTAACGTAATAATTAGGTGACAAAAAGATTTAACTTATAGAAGCAGCATTAAGTTGAGGCACTACAAAGGTCAAAGTGTGCTACATTAATGTTAGAAATGTGTGAGTGAGAATTCCGTTTGACTGCAAGTTAATTCATATATACGTACATAAGTAGTTATTAAATAGCAGTAACTTGTTGATCAGAACAGCCAATTAGCCTAACCCAGGTCAGCAGTGACCGAGCATGGGTGCTCACGGGGGAAAACATCACAACTCAGCAGAATAGCTAACTCGAGACGTTAACGTTAAACATGGCGGTAACCTTAAGTGTAGTTACGATACTAGTTAGTACCCAAACTACCAAGTTTAAATAATATGAATAAATAGGACTCGGGGCTTCTTCCCCAGGACCCACTGGCACCCTGCAGATAGCAAGAGAACCCGTTAGCAGCAATGCTAATGCTGACGTTACATCACGCAGGACCCACGTCGATGGAAAACTGCTGCCCTGATACTAACCAATATGATACTGTCTGGACACAGGTTATAGCTATCGCACACTGGCCTTTCATAACTGAGATGAACTCATGAAGCAGTACGCCCATCCTTGTCACCAGCGGGAAGGAGCGCTCACCTTCTCACCGGCTCACGTCGCCAGGCAAACGGGCTGCTTCACAGGCCGCCAACCGCATTGAAATTGGCAGTCGCATAAACAATAGCAACATTCCCCATGTAAATCACAGCCACTCTGGAATTACTACCAGATCTCTTTAAAACATCTGAAATGATCCCCAGGAAAGGGTACATTGGTTTTGGAGGTACAATGCTCACCTGAAATCGAAACATCTATCTTTAGTCTTGCGGGAAAAGAGGTGCATCGGGAGCGAGGTGGCGCGCAAATGACGCAGGAGGGACGTCCACTTACGGAACGACGTGAACGAGCACGCATTTGGGCACAGAACTGTTTTCGTTTTCATGATACCACCTTGCGTCAATGCGGCCGCCATATTGGTACAGGGAAGCATCCACGCTACTGATTCATGTATACATGTTTTTAAGCCAAAATAATTTATCTTTTGTAGCCTAAACAGTAATAGTTCTATAATATGATATTTAAGCTGATCTCACCCTATGTAAAGCTGCAGTAGGTAACTTTTATAACAATAACGTTGTGTCATATTTACAGAAATGTTTACTGTGTCCAGACAGTAGAACATGATCGGAAAAAAAATGAGGTTCCAATTGGTAGAGCACCTAACGGCATCTGAGAGAATCCACCAGGCCTAGACGAAAACAACCAATCAGAGCCTAGAGAGATATAAATATATATATATTATATATATTATATTATTATATATATTATATTATATAGATATATAGACTAGTGATGGGAATTCCGGCTCTTTTATTTTAAGAGAGCTCTTTTAAGAGCCAGCTCTTTCGGCTCCCTAGCGGCTCCTCTTTTTGTCCCATCTCATAAGACAAAAAGGTCCAGTCTTTGATTGTGTATATTATTTGTAAATTTGCAACTATTTACAGTGAAACATCACAACATTAACAATTGTTTGTGGAGCCTGCTCAATATTAAAATTTAACTCTTCACAGTCTACACTCTGAATTGTCTATCACATTAAAATGTGACAAAACTTTACTAAGTTTATTACCTGACATACTGTATATTAGCTTAACTTAATATCATGACGGTCACTTTACCTTATATTAATAAGATAAGATAAACCTAAAAGAAAAAAAAAACAACTTATTGTGATATATCAAATTCAACTTTACTACCAGTAGAATATTGTAAATGTAATATAATGTAACACCCTGTTGTCTCGTTTCTCGCATTTCTGTCAATAGAACATTCAAAAGTCTTCCATTTTAATATTTGAACAATGAAATGAGTTGAATGAGTAGTCCTGAACCCCGCGGCAAGATGGCGGCCGCAGAGACGCATCACAACCTCACAATCCGGATGTATGCTCCTCTCCTGCTGTAAACAAGGAAGAACTATGAAACAGCAGTAAGACAGAGCACAGCGGGAAAGGTAAACACAAACTAACAATATCTTATTCTTTATTATTCAATCAGTCATTTTCAGCCTCAGTTGTTGTTGTACATATGCGTTGTATTATATTCAGTTATGGATTTTAATAGGTATACTCGCAGTTTTATATAGTATAACCTTTTTGAGGCCAGCAACTGGAATTTGGTTGCACAATTTCTTCCAACTACAAAAAAATATAGATGTTATGGAGGCAGCGTGTTCTTTCTTTCTTCGAGTGCGTCTATAGGTTTGGAACATACTCCCACCACCAATTAAAGGATCGACTTCTGTTGATATTTTCACTAAACGACTCAAGACCAATTTTTATGATCTTTTATGATATGATTTTTATGAGACGGTTTTTACTTGATCCAATATTATATTCCTTTATACCCGTTTCTGCTTTTATCTTAATATCGTTTTTATAATTAATAATAAAAAGTTTATTCATTTTATTTTATTATTATTATTATTATTATTATTTTTATATGTGTGTGTGTGTGTGTGTGTGTGTGTCAGCCCCACTATGGTTCAGTGGCAGCTCTGCACTGTGGAGCACCTGATGAATTCAGGGTTCGGCCGTCCTTTTCCACGACATGGCCTTCAGCTCCTGTTTTGGTTTTCCAACCACTGTGTGACCTGTGAACTCATTAACTTTGTGGTCATCATGAAGGTAAGTAGTACGTATGCTATTTTTCCCCATGTTTCTCTTATTATTAATAAGTAATTACTATGTTTTGAGGAACACATAATATTAATGGAGATTCTGTTGCCTATATCTTTTAATAGTAATACTGCAGTAATATTGATTGTTTCTGATGAAATGTGTATAATAAAGAAGTAAATAATATGTGGAATGACCGGAGTCTGTCGCCATAGCTGGTGTCTGATTGTCAACCAGAGAAAGGTTTCTATGGTTTCCACCTGTTTGGGAATATTGAAGAACTTCTGCCTGTATTGGAGAGGCGGTCCAAGAGAAAGAAACAGGTTTGTGATGTGTTTTGTTTGCGCATTGTTTGGAAGCATATGTGGAGATTTGTGTTCACAGGGCATAGCATTTGTCATTAAGACTCACATGGAGCCCCCAAAGGACAACAATACCAAGTTTCTGCTCTGGGCCACCCCATCTCTGTGTCCCGGGGCATGCCTGTCAAAAAGTAATAAAAGTTCGGATGGTATGGCAACTTAAATTCATCTAACTTTAGCATTATGGGCTGCTCATATTTAATAAGTCACAATGAATGCATTTTTTTCCTCAACAGGCTAAAGAAGGCAAACTGATTGTTGTAGCCAGGTCTTGTGCACATTCTTGACACAGCCTGTAGAAACAGGTGTATAAAGTGTTCTTTTAATTTTTTTTACATTTAATTAAATGTTTTTAAATCTCTGTCTGTCTTGGGGATTTATAACAGAAACACCACTAAAGTGGCAAGTTGCATTATGGGAAGTGCTTTTGGAGCCACAATAGTCAATAATCAATTTCAGCTGCTGCTTAAATCTTGAGCATTCTTTTATAGTATATAGTTTTTTAATACTAAAAAGTTGGAGTGACCATTTAAATACTTATTTTTTAATCCCAGCGATCCCCACTAGCGAACGAATCCCACTAGCTTACCTTTATTCTCTACATGCCATCTCATTTAAGCCTCTCTGTCTCTCTCTCTCCTTCAAGGTTGCGTACTTTGAAATTGGCAACCTGAACACAAAAACATACCCAGGTGCTGCAAACCTCCCGACATATGTGACGGAAAATTACGGGCTGGATGGTAACCGTGGTAATTACAATATAGACCGCATCATCATCAGCTACCAGGTGAGAACCAGGGTGGTGGAGACCGTGTACGTCACAGAGCATGATGGAGAAGCCTCCTGGAGGTTCAGCCCTGACAGGACTTTTGAAATCAGCTGTGAGCTGATTCGAGCGCTGCAGAGCCCACAGCTAGATCTCACCACCTTTCTCATCCAGGTGGGCTACTATAGTGGTAACCAGGTGATTCAGGATAACTATATAGGAGAGAGTCACAACCCAGAGCCCTCGGCCCAGCAAATGTTCAACACTGTGCAGACCTACAGTGGATCTACGGCAAGGACGGCGCAAAGTGGTGACTTACGATTCTTCTCAGCAGCCTTCAACCAGCAGCTAGGTGTAAACGTAGAGCCCTTCAGCTATGACCAGCAACGGCACTACATCGTCAACGTACACAACTACAGCGGCTTGCAACACACTTACTGGACGCCTGAAACCATCAAGGGATCAGTCGCTTCTTGGAAAAGTTATTTGTCATCTGGGTGGGAGCAGTTTTATGAAGGTAAAGCTGCAGTAACATTCTGTATGTGTCTCACAGTTCTTTTTATTTCTACAGTGGGGTTATTTATGTGTGAGCAAGGTGCAGCAAGCAAGATGCAGATAGTTTTGGTTTTATTTGCTCAGGTTTTCATACATCTGTCTTTCAGATGATCTGCTGCCACCCCAATACAGTGTTGAAAAATTACATTTAATAATAGTAAACTTTATATACATATATACTATATATATCTCAAAGTGCTTTACATTTAAAAAGGAATAAAAACAGAAAACACATTAAGTTCAAAAGCAGGCCGGTAAAGATAAACTAACTAACTTAAAAAGACATAAAAGGATAAAAGGATATTTAAAAACAGCCTGTGAGATGTTCATCTGTGTGATGCAAGCAGAAGTTGCTAAGAAAAGGCTAGGTTAAAGATCTTTTTAAGTAAGATCAACTGAAAACTTTATTATTCTTTTATCAGTTTATTTTTTTTACATAAACATAGATTGGAAATACAACACACACACAGGGCTTATAGACATGCAAATGTGGACAGATGGTGGAGTGATGGACTGCCGTGTAGCAGCTCCCCAGGGGCTGTTAGGGGTACTGTGCCTTGCTCAATGGCACCTCAGCAGTGGCCCTCCGAACCGTTATCCATGCTGGACTTGAACCAGCCCAAAAATTTAAATAACTCAACAGTGTGTCTTTCCAAAACTGTTGCCACTGAAGTCTGTTGATTATGTAGGGATACAGGCATTATAAAGGTTGGTGCAGATCCTTTTTTTAAATGTCGTTTTCAAAGCTGTGAGCACCACAAACACAATTCCTGAGGCAAGGAGTAAAAATATGAATATCTCAGAAGATAAAAACCTTAAACCCCAAACCGGTGCACACGTCTATCTCAGTAGACTTGTAACCAGTGGCGATAAGTGGGGAAATGTTTTAGCAATTTGGGCAAATGTACCCTTTAAAGGTAGGAAGTTGAAAAAACTAGAATTCATGCATATATCCATTGCCACTTTAACACAGACTTTGAATCAGGTCTACTGTATAAAAGGAATTATGGAAATAATGAGATTTTATTGCTGCTTGAACCTTTGTGAATTTCTCTCTCCAGGTTTTAATAAAGGAGTTAAGAAAAGGAGCGGAGGCAGAGGCATCAGCTTCATCAAGATTCTCCTCGGTGCTGGAGCGCTCTACCTTGCGGCCAAATGTTTCAGCTGGCTGAGGAGCTGGGGGGAGGGGGACATAAATGAAAAAGTTGTCAAGAGGATTCCCTGGAGGGCTCCAAGATATCGGCACACACATATCATGCTGGATTATGTGTACTAGGATTTTAGGTGTAATGATAGTCCTTATATTCTCTACAGGGATATAATACCTGCTGTGAGTAATTTGTAATGAACCTGAAATGATTTGGAGTGATGACAGTCTTTCTTGGGTGTGGACTGTCAAAATATAATATTCCATACTGGACTTTTTAATTCTATTTTCCACACTGGAAAAAAATGCATTGTCATTTTGATGTAATGATCTTGTGAAGATCTTAATTTTAGAAACATGAAACCGGTCAGTCAAGACTGTTTTAACTAAAGATTGTGATAATGAATTGAATTACAATTCTTTTCAGTCGTACAGACGTTATATTGTAAATACTGATATTTCAAATTCATTACATTATTATGAATTGATAATGATTGTTGAAATTGTGCAGTATTTAAAGGGCCAGTAAGTAGGATTTAGTGGCATCTAGTGGCGAAGTTGCAGATTGCAACCATTTGAATACAGCTTAGCCTTCCGTGTGTGTAGGAGAAACTATGGAGGTGGCGAACAAAAGACCCCATTTAGAGCCAGTGTTTGGTTCGTCCGTTCTGGGCAACTCTAGAAACACGGCGGTTCAATATAGCCTTCTGTAGGTAAAAACGTCTTATTCTAAGATAATGAAAACACAA